CACGCACCCAATCCTTGATCGTTATATGCTCCAGGCCGATGGGCGGCTATGGCATGAAGACTGTCTTAAAGTGAGTTGTCACTCTTCTGTTCTAGTTATTAAAACGAAGGTCATGAGACATTACTCGCCGACTCCGGTCTACCGGAATAGGCCTCTTTTTCTTTTGGTGCTCCATTCTCTGAGCATGAGCCTCAGCTGATAACTATGCCTTAAGAAGACGTTGGCACTAATTCAAATCCACCCCACATGTCAGCTTTCGATTCCCATCTTACATGTATTGCCATTTAGCCACGCAGAATGCAGTGAATTTCTCACTCCAGAACAAGCAAGAGCCCTTTCACGAATTTCACTTAGCTTATTTTCGATTTTTTGCTAGCAGTCCAGGAGTCAGTCACAACATCCACAAAGAATATGGACGGCTCGTTGAACCTGAAACCTTCGATGTTATTTGGTCCTTGAAGTTCCTCGTCAAAAAAGCAAAGTTTGGAGGTGTTCAAGAAACGTCTTCCTCTAGAATCTCTTAAGATGGCTCGCCAGATCTGATTCTAGAGAAAGGTGAGTCAGCAGAATGCTTATATGAAGAGAGTCAACGCATAAAAAGCATTCAAGGGGAATGGTACAAATTCACGGCGTATGTCAATGAAAATTCCAGGTGGAGTATCTGGTGTTTGTATACTCGAAATCCCTGAGATCGGGTAGGCGGTGCGTGCTTCGACTGAATCTGAAGGTGTCTGTGCTTCTGGTGAGATATTTTCATCTTGACACAATTGTGTCGTGTCTCTGTCCAACACAGAAGATGACAGTTGTCCCAGACTGAAATATTCCACGAGTAACCAATTCCGTGCCATGTTCAAATGCCACGCCTACTCTGGCTCAGGGATAAGGAGTGTAATAGAGGACGGCTCCTCAACTCAATAAGCCCATTCCTGCTGATAGTTGTGGTCCGTGTTCAGTAGAATTGCGAAAGCATTATCTGCTACGAGAGAAACCCTCGCAGAAAGGGCAGCCAATGCCTTACTAAAAATGGAAGACCCCTGGAAGGTTGCAACAACACCTACTGATTGTGAGAGTAAAAAACGAGTCAGTGTCGTATCCTTCCTGAATTACGCTCGACATCACGTTGCGAAAACGACTCGCCACACTCTAGCAGAAGCGGGCTAGAGCAAGGTAATACAGCCACCATGAAGCACTACTACTCCTCCATAGCTCTAGCAATCATCACTACTCTAAATAGCAATCTGAACAGAGAGACAGTTTGAACTATTAATTACCTAAGAAATAACCTTTTCAACGCTCTTTGTCGTAGGTTCCTCATGTTCTGTGGCAAAGCCATTCAGTCATTGCTTAGAAATTACCACAAATAAGTGATCCCATGCTTTTTGTACAGTTGGCTGAATGTACGTAACAAGGAGGCAAAATCACACTCAGAAATGTCGAAGTCCGGACAAGAATTATGGGGCAATCTAATAATGTGATAGTGTTTCTCTTGGGTGCACTTCTACTCTTCGATGTAAACCCTGTGGTGGCTCGTTTGTAAACCTTGCTACATTACTGAACAAGTGGCATCATAGCATTTCGTCTGGATAGATAGACCTAATTTCTTCTGTGGAATCGGGTTCTTGATAGGTTCCTCACGGTTGTTTTCCAAAACGGGATCGCCCAACTAAACGGCCTGCTAGTACCGTCAAAGCCGCCACCGTCGCAACGTGACCGCTCTAAACTGCTCACTAGCTAACTGTACACTCACTTTCCTGGATTCTTGTCCTTGCCTTGTATGAGGTGAATGGGTCCACAGCTGCAGTAGCATGCCATTCCTTCCTTTAAGAGTACAAGAGAAGGAGACTGGAGGATAGTGGTTCGCAGGTGCTGTTTTCGGCCTTTGCCCGCAATGCCGTACGGCTAGCCTCACACCTAATGAAGCCGAACGCACTGCCTGTCTGCGCCTTCTCACTTCTGAAACTACTCTACCGCAGAATGCGTGTTTCGCTGGAGGCAAGTGCTGCACTTTGACAATAGTGCGGGCTAGGTCCGGAAACGTCACCTGGGTACCACCACCCTCCAGCCTCCTTTCCGTGCAGTCTGAAGTGGAGAATGTGTTTCTCATTTGCAGCAGCAACCTATTCTTCTCGCACATGGCAAAGACAGTAATCCACGGAACTCAAAGTACATTTTGCTTTAAGTACACTCAGAGACACGAGCTTTAATCGTGTGAGGAACGTAATGTCTTGAGGACCATGACGGATTTCGAAGAAGAGATCCTCCTGCTATGCAAATGATAAGTATTTGTTTTCTTGCAGCTACATTTGTTTTCACTACATTTTACAGTGTGCACTATGCCATTGCCGCTTGGGTGAGATGGGTTCGAAACTCTACATTAAACAAGATCTGATGATGTGTGAAACGGACTATCGTCGTCTATATGGCTATCGTGGAATGTGCACTGGATGCCGACAAGTTATCCCACCATACGATATGGTAATGCGTGTCAAGTAGGTTTGACTTGACTGCAACTGTGATGTGAAAAAAGTACCGGCAAGTCGCTCGAAAATGGTGCAGGAAATAAAGTTTTGTGCCAAGTTACCCCCAATTACGGTATTCGTCTCAGAAACCGCACAAAGAGTGCACCTTTTCAATATCCTTTTCTTCCTCACCAAAGCAGACCTTTAGAAGTCAAAGTCCAAAAAAATGATGAATTTCTCGAAATATGCATTGTTACAGGGCAGTGTATTAGAGCACATTTGTTCTTCTGTTCTTCTGAAGTTCTTGGCTCTTCTTATTTTAGCGAGAAGTCGATCGCACCACTTTATTCTGAACCCGTAGAGCTGTTCAGACCCCGTCATGACGTGCGTCGTTGCGCTACCTTTACCTTTGCAGTAAAAGCACAGAAACTGATGGGCTCAGGGGGGGGGGGAGAGGGGTGCGCCGCGCGCACGATTTTCTTCACATTCCTAGTAACAGCCAAAATCTTGTTGGTCCATGGGTCAGCTTTCTGAGTCTGATAACACACTCTCCATAGCTAAGGAAGCGTGTGAAAGGGCTTTGACGATGGGATACGTTTTTCTGGAGACACCGCTACAATTCCTACAATAACCCTTATACGCTCACACCTCCTCAGTTCTGTTGGATTCTGATTTCTCCAAATACGAATCGACCCTTCCACCCAGCCAACTACGACCCCCTCGTTTCGAATTCCTCAACGGATGCTTGACCCTGCTGCCAATGCCTCGTGAGTCTACATAGCCTTACCAAGAGCAGAGGTCTGCCTCGTATTTTTTTTGCCTCGGGAATTGATCTGCCTACTCCGTAGGAAAAAAAATCCCTCAATAGAACAGACACGGTCATCCGTGGAGCTAGAAAACTCGGACATCGAATCATATATTAATACACTATTTCAGAAGCAACCTGTACACCTGAAGTGCTTCCCGTCAGTTGTTGTTCAGAAAGGTGACGTTTCTTCATTCTAAATTGGAAGACTTTAGCGGTCTACTCTCTGAGAACTCTGTTCTCAATACTGAGTGGCGAGCTCAATCAACGACCATCGGTCGTATTTAATATTTGTATTAAAGGCGCGCACTGCCAGTCAGTTAATGAAAACATTTCCTCAATGCAGTAATGAAGCTAAATCTTTTTACAAGATTAACATCGATTCCTCATGTAGGACGTGCTTCACGCCTGCCGTCACACTTCACGTGTGTGCTTGCCAGCGCAGCCAGAGCAAGTCATCTAATGATCGAAAAACACATTCGGATCTGTACAGTTTTACAGCCCCATTTGAACTGCTCCCCAACATTCCCCCAAACCAAAACAACGCAGAAAGAAAGTTGTAGTGGTATCAACACATTGACGAATCCTCCGTGAGCCTAAGCTCATGAGCCAGACACTAGTCGACAGGGATGGGCCGATTCCACTCCTTGACGGTTACCGCAGACCTATTCCCAATCGATACCACTTCCTCACATGTCAAAGTCTTCTGAAGGAGAGATGCTTCAAATGCCAAGATGGTGCTCAGCGACATTCACTGTTTTCATCGCCTCCTAGATCCTAAACTTCTATGCGAGCGAAATAATCAGATTTATTACTCATCGGCAGAATCAGCTGATAATAATGGTTGTCATTTCAGCTAGCGATATTTTCTTTAGAGAAACGCTAATCACTTACTTGCAAGATATACCATGTGCGAGGTCGACAGGTTTGCAGTTGTAGCTGTACCACTATTGTAGCTCGAAAGTGCGCGGAAATGAAGCTGGTGGATCGTGATAGCTGGATGTTGTTACGGACCACAGTGTGCGGACCGACATGGGCGTCGATCCCGTGGTCCCCCTGTAACAATACAATGCCTATCGCCGCCAAGTGTAGAAAACAGCCAAACGTAAGAGAGCGCAGACAAGCAGCGCGTCCAACTACAGTTTTTCGTACGCCTGGTCATACTGTATATTTTGTCATCCGATTTGCCTGGTTGTGAAGTTCGGAAAGACATTTGGCTGCCGTCACTCCCCAGCCTGTGCACTTTCAAATGACTAAAGTGGCATATTTCTACAGCTGCGGGTCCGCTCCTATCTAGCGAGGATCGGAAGGTGAGCGTAAAGCGTATCTTCGGGCCGAGATATATAGGTCAAAAAAAGC